AATAACAAAAGACAACAAAGGAAATTCCATGTCTGGATATGGCGGGCAAAGAACGTGTCCAGCCACCACTGGTGTTCACGCACACAAAACCACACATCCACACCCCACACAAACCTTCCCCAGCTTCATCACTGCTCGAGGTCTGAAAAGTATGACGTGAGGGCAAGCTGCACGCTGTGCCAAGACGCTGGGGGTGTGGGACACGCAGCGTTCACAGCCGCAGCATCCAACAGCACCACGGGTGACAAAGAAGAGGACGTCGCTGTTGAACAAGAAGCTGGCGGTGGTGGGCGCTGTGACTGTGGCTGTGGCTGTTGGTGCTGGTGTGGATTTGAAGTCCTCTGACAAGCAACCTCTCGCACTCTTGCGTCAAACCCTTGCCTGTGTGCACCTCTGCTGTTGGACTGCTTGTGCGCCCCACCACCGTTGGTGTCTTGCTTCAGTGTTGTGTGTTGTTGCTGTGCTGCCTTCCCCCTGTCCATGTCGCGGGACTGCTGAGACAGGGATGTGGACGTTGTGACAGCGGCGGAGGAGGAAGAAGAGGAAGAGGTTCCAAACTGCAGCGGCTTGAACCGCCCGCCATCCCCGCGTTTCGCACGCTTGTGCAAGTCTGAGGATGTCGTGCTTGTGGCGGCAACGTGGTGCTGCTGCTGTGCTTGTTCCTGAGGTATCACACTCGTCGCTGCGTGGTGCTGCTGCTGCTGATGGCCACCGGCTTCGAGAGCGCGCCGCCTGCTGCTGGCGCCCGTGCTGGTGCCCGTGCTCGTGCTGGCTTTTCTCGTTCGCAGCCTGAGCCGCGGCCGTGTTGTCCGCCCTCGAAACACAACCTCCTCCTCCTCTGCTGCTTCGTCGGCCATGGCTTGCTTGATTGCTGGGGGGTGGTGGCAGTTGTGGGCGATTTGTGGATATCGCGCACCAAATTTCCTCGCGTCGACAACAAACAAACACCAACCACCACCACCACCATCCATCATCATGTGGGGAACACTGTCCCTGGCCATCTTGGTCACCTCTCTCATCTTCCTCTTTCGCAAAGGTGTGTGTGTGTGTGTGTGTGTGTGTGTGTGTGTGTGCGTGTGTGTGTGTGCGTGCGTGTGCGTCCGTGTGCGTGTGCGTGCGTGTGCGTGTGCGTGTGCGTGCGTGTGCGTGCGTGTTTGTGTGTGTGTGTGTGTGTGTGTGTGTTTGTGTCGGATACCTTGTGGGCTGTTTTGTTATGCCCTGGTGCGTGTGATTGACCGCGTGCTTCCCCTCTTGCACCCTCTTTTTCACGTGTTCCTTGCCCCCACCTACCCCCAACAAGGCTTTCGATCGGGCATCTTTGCCATCGCCATTGGTTATCGCGCTCTAGTTCACTGGTATCGCAACTTGCGTGGCCTTACGCCAGGTGTGTAGGCCCGCGTGTGTGCATATGTGTGTGTGCATGTGTGCGCCTGTGTGAGTGTGTGCATGTGTGTGCATGTGTGTGTGCGAGGAACTATGACATTCGAGCGCGCCCGGGCGCGCGTCACGTGCTCACATGTGTCGAAGACCTCTCGTTCGCGCATGGCTCTTATCGCGCAACTCAACACACAGTCACAAAAGCGCGCGTTGACATCATTTCCTTCGACGCTCATCCCACGCCCATGCAACACCCCTCAGATGACATCCATGAGCGCCGCATTGTGTCTGGGCAAGCCTGGGATGAGTTCTGCGACGCCATAAAGGCCGCTGGTGTGTGTGTGTGTGTGCATCGCGGCGCACAGTGTGTTGCTCTGACTTCACCCTTGTACGTCGTTGAGGCATGTTTGCCACTCAGTTTTTGGCACTCACGTTGCGTCTTGTGCATGCACTTGTTCCTAGGCGCTGTCCTTTCCATGCCGGGCACGCCCCAGGACCCTTTCAACCAGGTCGGGGCACCTGTATTGCAGTGGATGAGCTGTGCATTGTTGTTCGTGCTCGCGGATCTGATGTGCGCGTGGATGTAATCCTCGTTCCCCTCACACCTGCCTTGTGGACAAACACTCCTTCCCTCCCCCCGTGCCCTCATTGAGGCTCTTTTATGTCCTGCATCTTCACTCTCGACATCCTTCACCTTCACGCTCGACAACCTTCACGTGTTCCTGCACGAAACCTTCAACGCCTTGATTGACTTGACCGCCTGTGACAGGCCGAAGGCTATCGATACTTGTCCCGGCTCATTCGCGGCGGCCTGGAGAACTTTGTCGAGTGCAGCGACCCCTTGCGCCCGCGGCTCAACGCCATCGCCAATGGTCTCCGCCCTGCCCCGATCAAGCTCGGGTCCGATAGCCCGGACAACCTCTACGAGAGCGCAGTCATCGACGGGCGCTTCACTTACCGCTTGAAGGTGAACGGCCCTGCGCGAGAGATTGTGTTTGTATGTGTGTGTTTGTGGCTGGGATTGTGTGTGTGTTCGTGTTTGTGTGTGTGCGTGTGTGTGTTTGTGTGCGTGTGTGTGGCGAGGATTGTGTGCGTGTGCGCGCGTGCAGTTGTCACACACACACACTCACTCACACACACACACACTCACGCACACACTTACACTCGTACTCATACTGACACACACACACACACATACCCTCACTCACACACACACTCACGCACACACTCACACACTCTCTCCTCCCTCCCAACCTTCTTCCTTCGTCACTGACACTCAACAACCCTCCTCCCTTTGCCCGCCGTTTCTGTCATCAGGGTACTCGCGGCACACCCAAGATTCTCGGCTTTGGCACACAGGTCGCGCAACTGCCATCGCTGTCACACACCGAGAGAGCACGTCTTTGTGTGTGTGTGTGTGTGTGTGTGTGTGTGCGCGCGTGCGTGTGTGTGTTTGTATGTGTATCATCACCCTCCTCGTATTCACTTCCACAACGCACACACGCACACCCATACGCGCACACACACACGCAACACACACACACACACACACTCGAACGCACGCACACACGCAACACACACGCACCATGTGTCTACATGTCAGGCGGGCCGGTATGGGGGCGACGGCGGCCTGAAGACAGTCGACTACAAGACCATCGATGATATGGGTACGTGTGTGTGTGTGCATGTGCATGTGCATGCGTGTGTGTGTGCATTTGTGTGGTCTCCCTGTCTTTGAGTGGGGTGTGTTCACATGTTTGCGACAACATCACAACCTCACAATGCCGCGTGTTGACTGCAACTGCACTTCTCTTCCTCCTCCTTCTGCAGTTGTCAACGCGGACGGCACCTTCGAAGTCTATGTAGGTCCTCATGCAGCGCGCCTCAATTTTCGTTCGTTTTCATTTCCTGCCGTTTACACCCGCGCCATCACAAATACTGCCCTACCTTCCTCACACACACACACACGAACAAACAAACAAACAAACAAACAAACAAACAAACAAACAAACAAACAAACAAACAAACAAACAAACAAACAAACAAACAAACAAACAAACAAACAAACAAACAAACAAACAAACACAAACGCGCACAGCTTGGCCCCCGAAAGCCCGACGCGTGCCCGGACAGCAACTATCTGCGCACATTGGAAACGCCAGCCGAGGGCATGCTGCTTGTGCGCCAGACGTTTGGTGTGCGTACCAAAGAAACACCGGCACAGGTACGTCGACGCTGCTACACGTCCGCCGCCATCATGTTCTCTGGTCTAGCCTGTCAATATCCACTCCATCCTCACACACTCACACTCACACGCTCACACACACACTCACACACACACACACACACACACACACACACACACTCGCACATCAGCTTGAGATTGAGTGCATAACCGCATCACCCGGCGGGAGCAGCAGCAAGCTGACGTGTGCGGCGCTTGACACTGCGCTCAGCTCCGCACAGCTGTTCATTGCTGGCGCCCCAGCCATGTTTGCCCACTGGGCCGCGGGCTTTCAGAAGCACAAGAACCAGCTCCCGCTCTTTGACCAGGTGGTGGTGATTGTGTGCGTGCGTGCGTGTGTGCGTGTGTGCGTGTGTGTGTGTGTGTGTGTTTGCGTTCTTACCATCTGTGTATCTCCCCCTTTGCCCATCATTTCAGGAGTTGTCCAATAGCGTTGGTGGCGACCCGAACATCCGCTACTTCCACTCGTATTGGGAGCTGAAGGACGACGAGGCGCTGGTGATTGAGGCAACCCCGCCCCCGTGCAAGTTCTGGAACTTCCAACTCAACAACCACTGGATGGAGAGCCTGGACTATAGGTATTTCCCCATCCACGTGAACAAGGTGCGAGCAGCTGCCACTGTGACGCGTTATGTTGGGTTGAAGTGGAGGATGCCTGCTCTGGCACACGCAGCCGTCTCAGTGTGTGTGTATGTGTATGTTCACATTTTCATGTGCATGTGTGCGTGTGGCGCGCCCGTGCACGTGTTCACATGTGGACATTTGTGTCTGTGTGCATGAATTACGCCCCGCCTCGGTTGATTGTCGCTCACCTGTGCATATTTGTATGCATCGGTCCCCGCAGTACACCGCAAAATACAAGCGGGATGGGAGCATCATGATCATCGTGTCCAAGGAGGACCCTCATCTCTCGCAGTACGTGTGTGTTGTGTTGTGTTGTGTTGTGCGTTATTTTTGCAAAACGTGATGTGGAAGCGTTGCGCACACTTTCACCTGATACACACACACACACACACACACACACACACACACACACACACACACACACACACACACACACACACACACACACACACACGCACACACACACACACACAAACACGCGCGCACAGGGAGACGTACACGTGGTTGTCAACGACGGACCATAACTGCGGCACAATGTCGTTTCGGTGGATTCTTCCGGAGGTCGATGGCCCAGACCTGCCACACCCGCACACGCGCGTCGAATCCATTGCGCAACTCAAGGAGACACAGGCACATTGAGCGGCCAGTGCAGTGCCATCGATTTCACAACACACAACACACAACACACAACACACACACACTCTGTATTTACGCCTCGCTTCATCATCTCACCTCCTCATCGTCACTGGCGCTTGCTATGCTCCCTCCTCCCTCTGATTTGTTGTTACCCGCCTTCCATTACCACAAAACGCTGCCAGCAGTGCTGGTGTGTGTTTTCATTGTGTTGCACACGAGTTGGCACGCAAGACGCGAGCGCACAGCGTGGGGCAGACGTGCACATGCATGGTATCAGACAACACCCGACGAAGCTCAAGCAAGCCACCCTTTGTTTTGTCCTTGGGGCATGGCGATTCTCGCCAGCAATGCACCCGATGCGTGTGTGTGCATGTGCGTGTGTGTGTGCGCCTTGTTTGGACAACCTATTACGTGTGCATGGCTTCACCGCTCGCGTCCGCAGCCTGGATGATGTATGCAGTGGACCAGAGACAACGGTTAGGCATGCGATGTGGTATTGCTGATACGCTCTGCCATTGCTCGTGTGTTCGCGCGCGTGTGTGTGTGTGTGTCTCTCTCTCTCTCCGCCCCCCCCCCCTTTCCTCACTTCTCCACGCACACCCACTCTCCCTCTTTCCCTCCTCCTCCCTCCGCCAGCAGTCTCAAACATGAAAAAAAAGCACAAAACACCTCACGTCAAATCAGACGTGCAAGCTGTCAAAATTGATTGGCGTGCAAGGTGGTGGTGCAAGGCAGAGAATAAAGCGCGGAAAACAGACGCTTGCCTGAAAAAGCAACAGCGCGAAAACAGCTTGTGTCAGCAAGCGCTCGAGTGGTGCGTTCACATCACATCGCACCACTTCCGCCACTCGACAAGAGACGATACAACACGCATCACCGTAACCGCAAACGCAACCAACGCCACCAACGCCACCAACGCCACCAACCCACCACCCACAACGCGACGCGAAGAGCAAGCCATGGACTCACCACCAGCGGATATGCCCGCAAAGTGCGCTGCAGTTGTGACGTGCGAATGCCCGTCTGCGTGCCTCGTGTTGCTGCTGTGGTCGCTGCGCTTGCTTGCTGTTCGTGCCTCTGCTTGCGGCGAGTGTCGACAACGGAGCGCATAAACAGCTGCGGGCGTTCTCGCACAAGCAAGCCACTGCCTTGGCACCATGTCGCTCATCTGCAATCCTGTCGTCTCCCACACTGCATGTGCCTGTGCTTGTGTGAGCAGGCGGCCCAAGGTCTTGCGCCGCTCAGCCCGGCAGGCAGCTCGCAGAGCGCGCCTGCAGGCCGAGTCAAACGTATGTGCCTTCCTGTGTGTGTGTGTGTGTGTGTGTGTGTGTGTGTGCGTGAGTGAGTGAGTGAGTGTGTGTGTGTGTGTGCGCGTGTGCATGAGTGAGTGAGTGTGTGTATGTGTGTGTGCGCGCGTGCACGCGTGTGTGTTTGTGAGTGTGCATATGTGTGTGTGTGTGAGTGTGAGTTTGTATGTGTATGCGTGTGTAAACGCATGCTCTTGAACATCACATGTAGCCTGCCCTGCGTGGTAAGACACACTCGTGCGCGCAAAGGCCGCAACGCGTTTCAAATACCTGCACACACACACTCTCTCTCTCACCCAATCACTCACCCACACCCAACACACCAACATACGTGTCTCCACTTTTGCGCACCAGAAGCTTCAAGAGCAGGACGTCGCCTATGTTCCCAAGGATGCGGCGTTCTGGCGGCCAAGTTCCCGCGCTGCAAGCAACACACACACGCCCACCAACACCACGCCTGACCATGCCAACGCTGCTCCTTCAGCGTCCTCCTCGTCTGCATCGTCTTCCACCACCACGACCACCACGACCACCACCTCCTCGTCTTCCACCACCACTTCCACCACCACCACCTCGTCTTCGTCCTCCTCCTCGTCTTCGTCGTCCTCCTCCTCCGCCACTGTGTCTTCCATCACCCCATCTACCGGCACTTCCGCCACCAACAGCACCAGCAGCACCAGCAGCAGCATCATGGCCACCGTGGCCACCTCCCCCACTGACTCGCCCGCCTCCGCGCCTTCCACATGCAGTTTCTCTGCTCCCAACATCACCACCTTCGACATTGAAGAGCGTTTGCGCGCCATCAGGGCGGGTCGACGCAAGCGCGCCGGCAACGACAGCGAAATGCACAGCGACGATGAAGACCTCACTCCCCGGGTCGGCCGCGGGTTGCCCATGAGACACGTTGAGGTCATCAACCACCAGCGAGATGCACACGACGACTTCAAGTACATCGACAGGCCGCAGTACCATCAGAGCGGCGGGGCGCACCGCCTGTACCGGCACAGCGAGTACAATGAGAAAGAAATCCACAAGCTGTACATGCTCGAATGCACAGCCATGCCGCGTACAGCGAAGATGATCCACGACAGCATCGTGCGCCTGTTGCAGGGGCGCATGCACTGTGTCCTGGACTTTGCCCAAGACGAGGACGGCAAGTTCCGCCACTATTACTTCTTCTGCAGCTGCACCACCGCACAAGTGAACCGCATCAGCAAGCGAGAGCTGCCCGTCTATCGCGAAAAGATCAAGCACTTGTGCACCGAGCTGGGCCGGTTGGGCAATCCGTACCGCGAGAGCAGCCATCACATCATGGCGTGGCGGGCAAGCTGGAGCCTGGCGGGCGTCGACACGTGGTGTGAGGCCGCATATGCGCCCCCGTACAACCGCTGGAGGGAGCCCAAGGCACGCAGCTTCAAGCTGAACCCCAGGTTCGAGTACGCCTATGCCGAGAGCATCTGGTTGGCTGTTGCGCACATGCTCGTCTCGGGCACCGAAGACATCATCGTCGTGTACGAGGGGCGTGCCAGCGGCACCGTCGTTCACCTCAACCGCCGGCAGCTGAACAGAGCAAGCGCCGCCTTCGATTCAGACCTGCTTAAGGGGCACGGCGACCCAAGGCCAGGCACCCTCGACTCAAACCAGATTGAGTTTTGGCTGAGCACCATCACCCGCGCTCTCCAGCCCCTCTGTGAGCACGGCCCGCCAGTCGTCCGCGTCAGCGAGCGGCTGATTAAAGAAGTCTTCGGCTACACCGACGTCACCCTGGTGTGTGTGTGTGTGTGTGTGTGTGTGTGTGTGTGTGTGTGTGTGTGTGCGTCCGAGAGAGTGAGATCCTGCGTCGATAGCACATGTGATCCTTCGTTGACCTACTCATTCACTCACCCCCAACACACCCCCAACACACCCAACACACCCCCAACACCCCCAACACACCCCCAACACACACACACACACACCACACACTGCAGGAGCCCACAACTGTTCAAGACTCACGGGTTGCGTTGCGCTGGCCCGACCTCGAGGGCGATGAGGTTGTTCTCGCGGACGAGCGACGCATTCGCCTTGAGCGTCAAGATGCCCGGGAGGCAATCACGACGCTTCCAAGGAGCCATCAAGAGTGGAGAGCCCTCCACTATGCCAACCAGCGCATCCTTCTGGAAGATTAGGCGTCTCGACGGTCATTCTTTCAGCCGACCGTGCTGCTTGCTGTTGGCTGTTGGCTGTTGCTGTCGTTGTCATTGTTGGATGTCGGGTGCTGCTAGTGCCTGTCAACTGTTGAGGATAATGACGATCGCGGGTGGTGTTGTTGCTGTCATCATCTCCTCCCCCTTTCTCATTCTCCCACCACCAAGACTGCCATCCTCCTCCTCTCGCACCTTCTTCTTCTTCTTCTTCTTCTTCTTCTTCTTCTTCTTCTTCTTCTTCTTCTTCTTCTTCTTCTTCTTCTTCTTCTTCTTCTTCTTCTTCTTCTTCTTCTTCTTCTTCTTCTTCTTCTTCTTCCCCGCTCCTCTTCTTCTGTCACATCTGCCTCTGCTGCTTTTTTTTTTTCGTTCTGCTGCCGCTGCTGCTGCCGCCGCAGCCCCGTGACGTTCCAGCGCTGGTATTTTCTGTCTCCAGAGAGCGTCATTGCCAATGTCGTCTGGTGCTGGGGCGTTCCCTCACCAATGCGATGATACTTTTTCGTGCTTTTTTTTTTGTTCCATCTTGAAATGATGTCAGCTTCTGCAAACGCAAAGTCAGGGCGTGAGGGAATGTGTCACCCACTCGATCGACAGGCACAGGAGAGGGTGGGGAGGCATCAGCACAATCTACAGCACACGAGAAGCAAGCCACAGCACAACCAACACTCACCGTGAAGGCCGCAAAACACGCTGCTTGCAGCTCCTTCTGCTCCTTCCTGTCAAGGGAATGACATTTCCGGCAAGCACGAAACATGGCCAATGACATTGTCAATCTTCTCATCAAGTTCACAGCCCCAAACCCGTAAACCCGCACTCACACAGACACATACACAGAGGCACAGACACATACACAGAGGCACAGACACATACACAGAGGCACAGACACATACACAGAGGCACAGACACACACACAGACACACAGACGCACATACAGACGCACGCACGCACACAGACGCGGACACCCCCTCAATCAAACAAGTAGTCCACTCACGTTTCAAGAGGACTGAGCAGCAACGTCGCGCCTGTCAACGCCGAGCCCCAAGATGCAAACGCCAACAGCAGACACCATCATGAGCACGCCGGCTGCAGTCAACGTTGGCTACAACGGCAAGGAGCGGGTCAACGCTCGCACGGAAGGGGTCAGCAACCCATCCATCCAAGATGACGGCCGTGTGCGTCTGTTTTCAGAGGTATGCATGAACCAACAAGAACAAGACTGAGCTGCATGCATCGCACTTGGCAAACACAACAGTCCGTAAAGCAAAGCCACACACACACACACACACACAGACACACACAGACACACAGACACACACACACACAGGCAGGCAGACACACGCGCGCGCGCACACCGTCAAAAGCACACACATACACACACGCAGACACACACACATGCACGCACGAATGCATACATCTCACGCTGGGCTGTCGCGCTTGCCATGCTCGTGTGCCAGGCGGAAACACGGGGTGATACCGGCTCCCGCAAGACCAACGTCCATGGTGACAAGCATTCACACAGCAGTCATCATCGCAACGTGGCTCGCGTGCTGTTCATAACGAAGAGTGGTCGCACCCTCCGAAGCGGTCCACCGCACCCGCTCAGCCATGGTGTGGGTCGCCAGGGCCGTGCAGTGGTGTGGGCCCGGCAGTTCCACGTGCCCAACAAGCTGCGCACGCGCCCCACCGCTGGCGTCAGTGCCACAAACTGGCGCTGGACACCGCCGCCGGCTCGCTCAGCGCACATCGTGGATATGGGCTACCCAGGCGCGCGCAAGCACCATAATCACCTCACAGATGGCATCCAGCACGTTGTGCGTGCGAGGAGGCCTGTGCCAGCTGCAGCCACCACAGCAACACATCCGCTCAGCCATGGTGTGGGTCGCCAGGGCCGTGCAGTGGTGTGGGCCTGGCAGTTCCACATGCCCAACAAGCTGCGCACGCGCCCCACCGCTGGCGTCAGTGCCACAAACTGGCGCTGGACACCGCCGCCGGCTCGCTCAGCGCACATCGTGGATATGGGCTACCCAGGCGTGCGCAAGCACCATAATCACCTCACAGATGGCATCCAGCACGTTGTGCGCGCACGGAGGCCTGTGCCAGCTGCGGCCGCTGGACGCAAGGTGCACCATGTCATCGGCATCACCAGCGAGCAGAGCGAAGTGTAAACTGCTGCTATGCTGGCGGAGGCAGTTGTCGCCCTTGAAAGCCCAAGTGTGCTGCTGCTGCTGCTGCTGTTGTTGTTGCTGCTGTTGCTGCTGCTGCTGCTGCTGCTGTTGTTGCTGCTCCACCCGTTTCTGTTGCATCGAGCGTTGTGTTGTACTGCCGCCTTTTCAACGCTGCTGACTCATTATGTTGCTCCTGCGCTGCCTGGCCTCTGTTGTGGCTGCTGCGTGTGTCCTGACACCTGCGCTTGTTGAGCAGCGGCACCCTTGTTCCTGTGCTCACACAAGTACATGTGCAATCACGAGACGCAAAGGGCATCATGACAGCAATTGGGGCGAGAGTGTGAGCAACATGGGCTGGTGGTGTGGGCGCGCGCATGCGCGTGTGTGCAGATTTGTACTCTCGTTTTTGAAGCATTCCAAGACAGACTGCAAACAAGAAGCAGCCTTACTTTGGTGATGACGAGATGCGTGCAAGCAAGCGGGCCAGCGAGCGAGTCGGGAGTGAACAGCTGGCGCAAACCACCACTGCTTTCGACGGCGCGCATCTATGAAGACACCATAAATTGATGGCACACAACCAGCCAGCAGTGTTAGGTGGTGCGAAATATGTTGCAAATCTTGCAGCAAAAATTGACCGTTCCATGTCCGGTTGTGGGCTGAAATCGCCAAAAACGCACAGCCCCAAACGCACAGCCCCAAACGCACTCGTACACAACAACCACCTCCCTTCTTCCCGCCCAACACAACCGCGAGTGACAACACCAACCCTGGTTGGGTGTTGTCTGAGACGACCATGTGTTGCAACTAGGAACAGGGCCAGAATGCCTGCAATCGACAAAAGGCAAGCACAAATGTTTGTGAGGGAATGGTCTGGGAGGCGGTGACCTCTCGACGTGATTGTCAGTCGACACAACGCGGCAAAAGAATTGTGTTCTCTGTGTGCATGCAAGTATGTAACCGTGCATGTGCTTGTGTGCGTGGATGAGTGAGTATGTGCCTGTGTAGGTGTTTCTTTTGCATGTGCGTGCATGTGCTTGTGTACGACGAGAATGGGCATCCTCGTCTTGGCACTCACCCATCCATGAGAAAACCGCATCCGCCTTGTTCTGCTTGGGTAGAGGCTGAAACCATGATGGCTGCAAATTGACAAAGGCAACAGCAAGCAAGTGAGGGAGGCAGCGAGTAAGCGTGTGCTTGCGCATTCATTCTCGGGCGCATGTGTGCATGTCTGTATTCGCGTCTGCATGTCTGTGTTCGCGTCTGCATGTCTGTGTGCGTGTGTGCATTCATGCTTGCGCGCACGTGTGTGTCCTTGTCATTCCACATCAGCCAAAGCATCCCACCTAGCTAAGAGTGCTCGTTGATCAGGCTTGAGTCGTGGCTCCGGCAGCAGCGCAGGCGCGATTCCTACCATCGACACAAGTGGCAGCAGGCAAGCCAGACAATTGTCAAGAAGAGGGTGCACTTCCTGTCCCCCTCGCAGCTGAACATACCAATCGACACGAGGCGAGTGAGTAGGGTCTTAACTGTGTGCGAACGTGTGTGTTTGCGTGGAGATGTGTGCGCGCGTGTTTGCGTAACCATTCGCTCACCAACGTTTCAGGCAGCTCCGCAGTTGCCGAGTGCGTTCATGCCACAGAACCGTGCAGCGCAACCATGGTACCTGCAATCGACAAAACCAGCAGAAGACAACCGATAAGCACGGGTTAGACGAGACAAGTGTGGTGCATTCCGTTGCACATCCACGACCGATCGACAAACGGTGAGAGCGTGGTTCTCATCCCGCCCATGTGTGCGTGTGTTGTTGTTGTTGGTGGTGGTGTAGTTGTTTAAGTTGTTGTAGTTGTAGTAGCAGTAGTAGTAGTAGTTGTTGTTGTTTAAATTGTTGTTGTTGTTGTTGTTGTTGTTGTTGTTATAGTAGTAGTGGTAGTAGTAGTAGCAGTAGTGTATGTTTGCATGTGTGCTCATGTTGCTGGGTGCATGCACGCCGACGCCAGTGCACAAGACAAGTAAGCGTGCTCAGCCTCCATGTCTGAAGCTAGTCCCCCATTCTCGGGACACATGCATAACCACTCCTCACTGCCCATTGCACACACACACATACACACACACACCGCTGTATGCACGAGCGCGCACAATCACAGAGTGTCTGACCCACACTCTTCATGCACCATCGCATTCAGTCGCTCCACTGGCGGCCTCTTCCTCGATGCCACCACAATCAAAAGCCCACCGATGCAGTAGCGGTCCGAGGGAGCAAAGAAGAGGGGTTGCACCAATCACAAACTGCATCCCACATCAAGAAGGGCCTTTCAAGCGTCTTCATGAGCAAGCTACGCATGCAACGCAAAAATGGAAGTGAGTGGCGTGCCTTGCACAGTGTGAACACATGCGTGTGCGTGTGCGTGTGTGTGTGGGTATGCGCCGACTCAATACGTATGTGTGTGTGCGCGTGTGTGTTACCGTGTGCATGCATGTTTGTTGACCAAATGCACAGTGCACCTGCCAACCCACGAACCTGACGTGGCATCGCCGCTTGATGATATGTTGCGTGTAGAGACGAAGGCATTGGGCGCTGCCTCGACGTGACAGCAACTGTATTGCCTGGGCAAAGCACACGGCCAGCGTAAGGGCCGGCAAGCACGAAAGCAACAATGCCAAGAGCGCATGTGCATGCGTAGAACCAGCGTACATGTGTGTGAGTGTGCAAGCGTGCGTTGGCACATGTCTAGTGTGTGAGTGTGTCTTGTGTGTGTGTGTGTGCGCACATGTATGGTGTGTGCGTGTGCGGTATCTTGTGCGTGTGTGCGTGTGTGTGCGGTATCTTGAGTGTGTGTGTGTGTGTGTGCATGTGTGTGCATGTACGTGCGGCCTACGGGTGTGTTGTGTGCATGTGTGTTGGACGTGCGTGCGTGTTGTACGTGCGTGTGATGTGTGTACGTGTATGTTGGGCGTGTGTGTTGTACGTGTATGTTGGACGTGCGGGTTGTACGTGCGCGTGTTGTTCGCGTGTGCGTTGGACATGTGCGCGTGTGTGGTGGGTGTGGTGATGAGTCCGCCTTGGTTGCACATGCAAGGGCAAATAATGTTGCACGTGCGTATGTTGTTCGCGTGTGCGTTGGACGTGTGCGCGTGTGTGATGGGTGTGCTGATTAGTTGGCAGGTGCATGCGTGGCAGGCGCATGCGTGACAACCAACCTGTGCGCTTCGCGTTCGCTTGAAGGGCTGGGCAGAAAACCAGCGAACGACCTTCGCAGGGCGCAGACGTGGCCAGCGGGAGACACAGGTAAGTGACCACGAATGTGGGTGTTGAGGTGGTGCATCGCCTAATTCGTCACTTGCATACTTCTCTGCGGCAAGGTGCGAAGAGGTGGCAAGAGGTGGAATGTCAGCTTGAAGGTCAAGGAGAACGTGTGTGTGTGTGTGTGTTCTGTGTGTTCTCTGTGTGTGTGTGTGTGTGTGTGTGTGTGTGTGTTCTGTGTGTGTGTGTGTGTGTGTGTGTGTGTGTGTTCTGTGTGTGTGTGTGTGTTCTGTGTGTGTGTGTGTGTTCCTGTTCTGTGTGCGTGCGTGCGTGATGCCCTCCTGCATGTCTGTGTTGATGTAAGTGTGTCCACCTATATATTATCAGTGCGGTGTCAGAAAGCAACAGTTGAAAAAGGCGTGCTGCATGGCAGAAATTCTATCTGACGAAAACTCACCACCTTCCACGGTGTGTGTGCGCGCGCAAGTCAACAGGTCAACGGGTATCACCTTACCACATGGGCGACGTTGTAATGTAACATAACACTAGAACACTAGAGTGACTAGAGAATGAGCAGGATTGCCTCATGTGCCATCTGCATTCGCCCCAGCACGCGGAACGATCCAACGGAGACATGGAGGGAGACATAGGCACAGGTGCACCATCACACGCCAGCCAGCCTGCCATAAAAGTGCACAACAAGGCAGCAAGGCAGCAACAGACGGGAAAAAGACACGTCAAGTTACACCACGCAGACGCAGTGTGACGTGCTGTGACGAGACACGTAGCCGAACAGCCGCTCCCCTCACAGTCCAACTCAACGTGCACCCTCTACCCTCCTTCTACAACTCAATGACTTGACTCAAGCATGTAGCAGGCGACAAGATCAGGGTTGCACCGCACCACTCTCTCCAACCACGCACATTCACAGCACATCGACTAGACTCAGTAAGTTTGCGCCTACCCAGGTACGATGGACGCCTTGTGCATGCGAGTGTGCGAGTGTTGAGTGTGAGATACGTTGGATGTGTGTGTGTGTGCGTGTGTGTGTGTGTGTGTGTGTGTGTGTGTGTGATCTTGTCGCATGCCACCTGCATGAGTATTGTCATTGAGTTGTCGAAGGAGGGTAGAGGGTGCACGTTGAGTTGCACTGAGAGGGGAGCGGCTGTTCTTTCCCCCCATGTTGTTCGAGTCCATTCAGTTGGCTTGAAGTTGTCCGGTGCGTGTGCAGATCGCGCCCCCTCACAGGGACACATTTCCTTCTATATACACTTGTCGCAGAGCTTCGATACGTGAATTTCGGGCGTAGGCACTCGCATGACCATGTCATGGTGACACTCCCGCCCCAAAACCATGGTCTCAGTGCGTCTGCATTCAGCGCACTTTCGTCCCGCTTGCATTCACACACACACACACACACACACACACACACACACACACACACACACACACAAGTTAGTGGTTGTGCTTCTTACCAATTGAGACACGCGACACGAGCGTCACAACGGGATCTCCTCCTGGGGCCTGTTAGCAAATGTCCAGTGTAATGTGACTCTGTGAGCAGGGTACACTGGTCTGGCATGCCCTTGCTTGAATGCACACACAGGCAGGCGAGCTATCTTCTTGATCTCACAGCCTGGGTCATCTTCTGCATGCATGGCACACGTCGATGCATGCATGCATGCATGGTGAAGGTGCACTGCACACGCTCGCGGCATGGCACCCACCTCCTCTCCCTGTCTCTGTCTCTGTCTCTGTCTCTCTGTTTCTCTCTGCCTCTCCGTTGACCTTGTTGCCTCGAGCCCAGCCTCATCTTGCTTTCTCGCATTTCGTGGGGGGAGACGTCATTGCCTCGTTGTGTGCTTGCTTGTCCTGGCAAACTGAGCTGCAGAGGGCGGGGCTGCCTTGCTTGTGTGCACGACAGTAAACGATATTCAGCAGCATCATGAAGCCTGGCAATCAAATGTGACGGAGAAAGCGGACACGGCAAGAGTGCTAGGGTGAGGGGTGAGCACGGATGTACCAGCAGAGATGACGGTAACAACATCAACACCGACACCAACACCAACGTCCGCGTTGACATCATCACACACGTATGCACGGCACGGCATTTGTCACAGGAACGTCCAGCACAGCCACATCGCAAGCACGCAGCAAGGGATCGTAAAGTGGCGCGCACCGCTTTGTCTCGTTGGTTGTTTGAAGCGACGCCAGCTTGACAACCAGTGATGGTCTCGACAAGCACGGCGGCAGGCATCCCACACGGTGGTCCAACGAGGAACGAATGGCTGGATCGGGATCCATCTGCATGAAGATGGGTGTTGAAGCCTCACATGGCCTGGTTGCTTGGACAGTGGAGAAAGTGTAGGGGCGGGGATGTGGGGGGGGGGGAGGCTGGAAGGAGAAGCGGCTGCACAGTCGTTCAGTCCAAGTGGTCAAGTGGTAGGATTTCGCCCTTTTGCTGTGTGTTCATGCGTGTGTGTGTGTACGGTGTGCGTGTATGTGCTTGTGTGTGTGTGTGTGCGTGTGTGTATGTGTGTGTGTGTGTGTGTGTGTGTGTGCACACGTCTGACCAGCCACCAGCATCTTCAACATTCACGCCAGTTCAGAAAGGAGAGGTCAGTGATGACACAGCGTGCTTGCAGGCAACGGGCAACAACAGTGTCACCGTTGTTGTTGCAGAAAATTATGTGTGTACGGGTGCGGTGTGCTTTGGCGCGCAGCTCATCACGTCTTTGTGTGCGTGGCTTTGTTTGTTTGTTTGTATTGGAGCACATGGTTTTACTGTCGAGCTGCTGACACGTATTCCCCCATCCCCCAATGCACACACACACACACACACACACACACACACACACACACACACACACAACACACACACACACACACACACACACACACAACCTGCGCAAGCATAACATCACCAAAACTCATGTACAAGTGCAGATACAACATGTCAGTTGGGGGCTGCCACCACCATCCTCACCACCACCACCACCACCACCATCATCATCATCATTGTCATCATCACCGAGGCGCCCGCTTGTTCCTCAAACGGCTGCTGCGCCTTGTTGGGGTGAGCAGCACATTCTGCTGCTTCCGCGCGCTTTTTCCTTTTCCCTCCTGCTTGTTGCTCTCTGCATCCTCTGCGGCTGTGCTGCCCTGGTTCTCAGCCCCGTCTCCTTCCTCCACTTCCTCTTTCTTCTCTTCAACTCCACCTTCTGCTGCGTTCACAGCGTCGCTGGTGTCATCACCCGCCTTCTCTTCCTCCTCCTCGTCTTCTGTCTCATCATCATCCTCATCCTTCTCATCCTCGTCCTCATCCTTCACAGGTGGCAGGCTCAGCGCCGGCACGTCCGTGTGCGCGCCATCAAAGTCCGACGCCAGCGACGTCGCCTTCATCACCGCTGCCGCAAAGTCGCGTCCAGAGGCCTCTTCCTTCTCCTCGCGAACAGCCACGGGCTTCCCCTTCTTGCCAGCGTGCCCATTCATCTTTGCTCCATTGTCGCCGCGCCGCGCCGTGCCCTCTGCCTTGACGTCATCCTCCTTCACAAGGCTGGTGGCCGCCAGCGAAAACACGCGTGTCTCGTTCTTCGCATCAGCAACGCAGTCCCACCGTCCAAGGCGCGGCTCCTGCCACACCACCACCACCAAGGAATGTCGTGTGATTGTGAGTGAGGGATCGTGTGTGAGGGTGATTGTGTGTGAGGGTGATTGTGTGTGAGTGGGAGTGAGTGTGAGGGTGATTGTGTGTGAGGGTGATTGTGTGTGAGGGTGATTGTGTGTGAGCGTGTGAGGGTGATTGCATGTGTCTTATGTTTGTGATGGCGTGTGATGGCGGTGAGATGGTTTGATGTGAAAGCCGCAGATGTTACAAGCAGAAGGAAGGTGGTGAGGGATACAACACGTGAGCGATGCGCTTGCACACCTTGCCGAGTGCTGCCACGAGGAAGGCGCCGTCAGCCGTAAACTTGAGCGAGTTCACCCATCCGACCTGACAGGCACAAGGCAGGAACCATGAGCAAGTGGAGTGCGCAGGGAGAGGGGAAGAGAACGATGTCACACCACAGCGTTGGAGTGGAACATGCACACGGGAGCACGGGCACCCACACACAGCGTACACACAGCGTACACACACAGCGTACACACACACACACACACACACACACACACAGCGTATACACACGCACACACACACACACACACACACACAGCGTATACACACACACACACACCGCGTTGATGGACATGACGGGGCTGATGCGGGCACTGCGGGCATCCGTGCTCCACAGGCGAATGCAGCCGTTGTTTGAGCCGGAAGCAGTGAGGTCGCTGTAGGGAACCGCAGCAACAGCGGTGATCCAGCTGTCCTTGCCGTGCGCACGAGGAACTGTACACACGGGCTTTCGCTTGCCAATGTCCCACAGACTCAGCGCGCTAAGGTGGCCACAGCCATGAAAGAAACGAAGAAGGCATGCACGCACGAGCGTGTCGTGAGCAAAAGCAGTACAGGAAGCACCACAAAAACCATCACAAGATCGGAGAGGACGAGAACACCACAAGGTGACACAGCACGACACCAAACACTGCACACCAAACACAGCACCACAAACACGGCATCCCAACCACCCACACGCCACATCGCACAAACACACAGCACAGCACAGCCCCAAACACACACGCACCCGTTTTGGTTGCCGGTGAGGAAATGAAGCTCTGTCACCATTGCAATGCAGTCGAGGCTGATGCCCGTGGATGCAAACACCAGCTGCGACGACTCAACAATCTGTCACAATGACACAATGACACGCAGCGTGAGCACTGCAAAGGCAGTCATGGGCCATCATCATATACACACACACATGTCACCCCTCACCAAGGAACCATGACACCGCGCCCAACGCACCAACACATTCGGGTTGAGCCAGCACAGCGCACAAGCCAACACCACAGCAGGCAATAGGCAAAGCACGACCAGCAACATCACGTAGGAGCATTTCACCGACCTTCCACAAGCGGAGGGAGCGGTCTCTGCCGCCAACACTGACGGCGCGTTCCCTGTGCAGGCTGTCCACGGCAAGCACCTGATCCTGGTGCCCAAACAGCGTCTCCACGTACGATAACGAGTCAATGTTCCACACCTGTGCGCAAGCAATCATCGCAGACATTATGTAGGGGGGATGTAAGCGCCGGGAGAGAGGCTAGGTGAGGTGGGGGAAATCGACTGAGTGTGGTTGATGTTTGTGCACGGTGCTGCAGGTCGGGCCACGTGAAGCTGTACAAGGAGAGAATCAAGAGGCAGAGCACGCGTGAATGTGCGTCACCTTGACTGTGCGATCGTCGCATGCGCTGAACAGGGTGTTCTCCCCGAGCCGAAACGCCAGCCCGTTGATGTTTCCACGGTGGCCCTGCATGTCCGCCATGGCAAATGTGATCATGACCGTGAACACGCGCAACACCAGCGTGGAACGATTGCTCGTGAATGATTGCTCATGTCAACACATACACATACACAGACAGACACATACACATACACAGACAGGCACAGGCACACAGACACAGACACACACAAAGAGCGCGACGTTCAAGCTCATGTACATTGCCGATCACGGACACTGCACACGAAAACACAACACCATCCACAAATGAGCTCATGCCCGTGGTTGTACTACGGACCCGAAGGTACTTGACGTGGCTGTGTGTTTGAAAGTCCCAGATGTTGATGATGGCATCTGTGCCAGCGCTGGCAAGGAAGGTGCCGTCTGTGTTCAGGGCAAGCGCGAGAACGTGGCCCGTGTGTCCAGTGGGGTTGTTCTTGGACTTGCGCTTCCACGTGTGCAGACGCGTGCCTTGGGATTGAATGGATGCGCAGGCGATAAGCAATGAGAATGGTCACGAGAAAGCAGTCGCGGTCGGCATCACACAAACAAAGAGGGAGACATTCAGCCGCAGTCACCATACGAATCCACGCACACACACACACATGCACACACCCACACACACACACTGACACATTGCATGTGGAGGGGCCTGACCTGAGTCGCGCATCCACTTGATGATGCTTCCGTCTTTGGACGCGGTGACGACATAGCGGGTGTCTGCAGAGATGACTGCGCTGGTCACTGGAAGGCGATGGCCGCGGGTGGTGACGGTGGCGGCAGGGTCAACGGCCTTGTGGCGCAGCGTGTGGGCCAGCTGACGACGCAGCACGCCTTTCTGCTTGTGCACCTCTTGTCGCAAGCGATGGGAGATGGCCTTTGTGAGCATGTCTCCTTCCAGCTCCTTCTCCTTCTCCTGCTCCTCAATCTGTTCGATAATCTCCTTGGCCATGCGCAGCCGCTTCTCCGCGGCCGTTTCCTGCACCAGGGTCTCGTCCTCTGACAGGTCGTCATCGTCATCGTCTGCAAATGCTTGCTGGATCTCTGCATCGAGGGTGAGCCCGCTTCCGTCGTCCCCTTCGTCATCAGAAGGGATCTCCTCATCTCGCTGGCGGCGCTTCCCACCCTTGCCTCGCTTGGAGATGGGCTGGCCACCGTCAGTGGGTGCCCACCGCTTTGACCGGCGCGAGTCGCTGCTCGCGAAGAAAGGATCGTGATCCATCCTCGTTCACCTGTGTGTGCGCGTGTGTGTGCGTGTTGTGTGTGTGTGTGTGTGCGTGTGTGTGTGTGTGTGCGTGCGTGTGTGTGTGCGCGCGTGTGTGTGTGTGTGTGCGTGTTTGGTTGCAGCAGCAGCAGCTCGCTGGCAGCAGTGTATCTTCGCTGGCTTTTGTGCTGGGCACGTGGCTGCTTGTGAAGGAAGGGCACTTGGTCAATTTTGACTTTGGTGGCAAAGGCAAAGTTGCCTTGATCGTTGCATCGGAAAAAAAAATCAAATCAGCAAACACACGACACCACAACGAACCGGCCGTTTGTTGTTTGTTGTTGTTCGCTGTTCGTGTGTTGTTGTTGTGTGCGCGAGTTGTGGCAGCACGCACAACGAACCAAACCACACCAACGAGCCACGACGATCCCCAACCAAGCACAACGCGCATAGCAATCACGGTTGTGTGTGGTGCTGGTTTGCCGACTGGCCGACTGACTGCTGTGTGACTGGACGTCTTTTGGGTGTTGTTGATCGTGGACAGCCCTCGCTTTGCGGTTTCTTTGCCTTTGGCGTTTCTCGCTCGTTCGTTGACCCAAGCAGGTACGTATGAATGTGCGTGTGTGTGTGCGCTGTTTCTGTGTTGCTGTTACTTGTCTTGTTCCCCGACACCACACACCGCCTCTATCCGCAACGAGCAGCACCTGCCTGTCGACGCACAAAAGACCGAAGGCAGTGACGCTCATCATTCCTCTTCCCTCCACACACACACGCACTTGAACACACACACACACACGCACTTGAACACACATGTTGCACAACAGCTCGCAAGCAAAGCCAGCCATGTCAAGTGGTGGCGATGGAAGGCGGCGCAGGCGCCGCATGCCAAAGCCCAAGGAAACATCGTTCCTGGAACACATGCACACAGACCATGGCGCGCTGGCCCAGGTAAGCCCGATGGACGTGGTGGCGTTGGCAGTGCAGATGTTCGCACGAACTGCGATGATGTCCTTGGTGATGACGATGATGGTGACGGTGCACATGGTCTGCTGTTCTCGATACAGGAGCGTGTGATCCGGGACCTGCGTGCTGCTGTGCGCTCTGTTGAGACAGAGAGACCATACACACCGGCAGATCGGTCGCGAGGTTCGTGATCCCATTCTGGCGGATGCCCAATGGGCTGTGTGTGTGTGTGTGTGTTTTCGCGCGTTGTTGGTTCCCGCTTGTTCTGCACTCACCACCATCTTGCGCGCGTAGGGTTGTTTGGTGCAAGTCGCGTTGGCGAAGGCCAGCACAGTCGCATTGGCTCTGCCAGCTCAGTCCAGGGTGCTATGGACCTGAGGCCGCCCTCAGCTTTCGCGTGCGTATGTGTGTGTGCGCGCGTATGTGTGAGAGCGCGTGAGATAGACAGACAGACACATCACGCGCGCGCGTGTGTGTGCATGAGTGAGGAGCCTGGCCAGTATTTACGTCGCGCCTGGCCTTGGTTTGCGCTATTGGTTCGTGCATCGTTCACCCCCCCCCCCACACACACACATGACGTCTTTCCCGCGCTTGCCGTTTGGCATACAGAATTGGCCGAAAGCAGTTCCTTGCCAACCTGCCTGAGACAGAGGACCTTGAGCGGCCCATGACTGGCGTGCGCCCGTCCACCCGCCGCAACCCGCCATCTGTTGCACGAACAAGCGCTGCCAACGAGGTGTGCAAACACCGCATGTGCATGTGTGTGTATGTGTGTGTGTGTGAAGCTGTCATTGGCGGCAGTTGGGTAGCGGCTTGCTGGTGTTCGTTGCCACTTGGGTTCCACATGAGCTCACGCGTGCACACATCTGTGCTGCTACTACTGCTGCTACCGCTGCTACTGCTGCTACCGCTGCGACTGCTGCGACCGTGTGATTGTTAAGGAGCCACGGCGGCGGTGCATGTCAACGTCGTCGTCCCTCTCCTCGGCCGGGCGAACCCGCTCCTCATCACGCAGGTCACCGCCCATGCCCCCTGCGTGCGCTTTGCCTTGTCTGTGTGTCTGTGAGTGTCTGTGTGTCTGCGAGTGATAGGTGGACGCTGCTGCGCATACTTCGCCACCTCTCACACACGGTCGCGTGAACACGCATGATGTCTGTTGTGTGCAGACGGCTTCCCTCCGGGTCTGACGAGCACGGCGATGCGAACGACCCCGACATCCCCGCGGCAAAACAGAGCTCCCAACGTCGCATGATGCCCCGCCCCCCGCCGCGGCGGCCCCCGTACGTGCACACCGCTGGTGGAGCCGTGGGTCTGGGCATGCTTGTTTGTCTGCTTGTATATTTTTGCGTGCGTGCGAGCGTGCGTGTGTGTGTGTGTGTGCGTGCGTGCGTGTGTGTGTGTGTGTGTGTGTGTGTGTGTTCAGTCATAGCATATCGCATCCGCTTGATTTTGCTTTCCCTGTCCTCTCTGTCATCATCCAAAACAGCTCACGAACATGCACACACACACGCACACGCCCACACTCCACCGCCACCACGATTTGTACGATCACCACTGCGCGTTCGGGCGTGGCAGCGCGGCGATGGACACGACGGCCGAGGAGCACACGTCTGCATCCACACCAACATCCGCCCTCTCCCGCTCAGCATCGTCCAGCATGAAGGTCATCAACCACACCACCACCACACCAGCAGGAGCGAATGCGCCGCCACCACCATCATCGTCGTCGTCAGCGTCAGCGTCGTCACAGCAGCGCACGCGGCCGCGCCCACCAACTAGGGAAGGCACGGCTGCTGGGCGGCGGGCAACGAGTGCAGACACGCAACCGCGGCTGGCGTCGGCCGTTGTTGTCGACAACTCCCGCTGGCAGGAGCTCGAACCCCTCCTCACAAAGGTCTGCAGCCACACGGTGTTGGGCGTTTGGGGGGGGGGGTGGTGGTGGAGCAAGCGTGGTATTGGTTTGGCTGTGCCCTGTGTGTTGTGTTGTGTTGTGTTGTGTTGTGTTGTGTTGTGTTGTGTTGTGTTGTGTGTGTATGTGTGTGAGAGAGAGTGTGTGTGTGGAAAGCTTTGGTTGCTTCGACGGTGCGTCGTGTCCCTGCTCATGGGCGTATGTGGTGGGCGGTGCGATCATCAGTTGAGCGTGGAGGAGCCCATCGACTCGCTCCTCGACCTCGTCGCAACAATCAGCAAACTCCTCAACAATAAGGTCAGCAATGTGTGTACGTGTCTGCTAACTTGCGTGCGGATATGTTGACGGCTTCACCCTTCCCGTCTTTGCGCCCTGATGCAACATGTCACCATCACATGTGCATGTGTATGTGTATGTGTATGTGTATGTGTATGTGTATGTGTATGTGTATGTGTGTGTGTGTGCAGCCGCTGTACAACGGGCAGCGTAACAGCGAGCTGCTGCGCTCGCTGTACCGGTTGACGGATCTCTCCGATCCTCGGCTCCTTGCCCGCGTCGGCCGTCTTATCCTCATGGTGACGATGATGATGATGATGATGATGATGATGATGTGACAATGTGGTGGTGGTGGTGGTGGTGCAAGTTTTGGTCAAGAAAGAGCATGGGCATGACCTGCTTGCGCATGTTTGTGTTCATGTGTGCACCACGTGTGTCGACTGTGTCACGGCAGCATTGGTTCTTCCTCACGCCATGCGTTCCCCATCCGCATCCCGCGTCTTCGTCCCACTCACTTTGTTATCTTCTGCCGTTGCTTGTGCAGATTACGCGCAAGGGAACTGTGAAGAACGTATGCAAGATGCTGTTCAAGCTCAGTCGCAACGAGGCCAACGACGCTTTGTTGCAGCAGGAGAAAATCCCAGGTGGGCTGGACAGTGTGGTGTCATGAATACGTGACAAACATGTGTCATGTGTGTGTGCGTGTGTTTGTTTGTTTTTGTGTGTGTTCGAGCTCTGTTTAGTGTGTGGACGTGCGTGTGCCATGCGGGTACACTGCTGCAGGCGATTGCCAACCCTGTGCTTCTTTCATTGCAGCATCGCGGTGACCGCGTGTGCCTCACTCTCGTCACATTGCTTGCTTGCATGTGTGCTGTAGATGTGCTGGTTGGGGTGCTCGAGGTGTGCAATCGCCAGGAGCATGTGGAGGGTCTTGTCTACTGCTGCGGCGCAATCAAAAACCTCTCGAGTAGCGGTCAGTGTGCACACACCACGCCACCCTCTTGTGTGTTGTCTGAGGTGGGCACGGGGAGGCAGGGCGGAGCGCTTGTACTGTGGCTGCATGCGCGCGCACAACAGTGAGTACTCAACGATCCTTGTCTGCTACACATGTGTTTTGCGTTGACAGCTGATGCGCAGGCGTATTTTGTTGAGCGCGGCGTTCTTCCCGTCATGAACAGGCACCTCCTCGACATTATTCAAAACGTATGCGGACGACTGTGTGTGTGTGCGTGTGCGTGCGTGCGTGTGTGTGTGTGTGTGTGTGCGTGCGTGTGATTCTACATGTACTCTGGTGAAAACAACCCTCGTACCTCATCCCCTGGCGCTATCGTACTCATTCCCAACTGTCTTCAACCACCTCGCTCCTCCCCGATACACACACTGCGGTGACTGCACCAGCTCCCGCCGGCTGGAACGCAGATGAGCTCGTACACGGGCCATCTCCTCGTGCAGATGACGGCTGCGCTCCGCAACCTCGCCGTCAACACCGCGCACCTCCCAGGTGGCACCCCGCTCCAGCGCTCGTGTTTGCTTGTTTGTCTCTGTCTGTCTGTGTGTTTGTCTGTTTGTTTGCCTGTTTGTTTGTTGGTGTCGAATTGCGTGTTTGTCGCCATGTCATTCTGTCAAACTCAACCGCGCCCCCTCCTCCTCTTTCCTAAACAACTTGAACACGTGGTGTGCGTACACCACTTCGCCAGCGTTCGAGGAGTCTGGGCTGGTCCAGAGCCTGTGCGCGCTGCTGGAGCTGTTTCCTTCCGATAAGGACCTCGTTCTCAACATTATGCGCATCTTCAGGTAAGCCGCGAACGTACACCCAAACACATGCGCTTGCAGAGAGAGGGTTGGGTCCGGGGGGAAGGAATTGCTGATGTTGCTGCTCCTGATGAAACTTGCCACTTTCACTTGCAACACCATATGCACACGCACACGCGCACACATGCACACGCGCACACATGAGCGTATTCCCGCACCTTCTTTCCTGCTAAACACTCACCCCCTTCCTCCTCCTCCTCCTCCTCCCCCGCTTGTCCTCCCACAAACAAACAGCAAAGTGACGATGACGCAGCAAGGGCGCGGGGCGATAGCGCAGGTGGCAAATGCAGTAGCGAGCATTGCCAAGCTTGCCGAGCGCCACGGCGGCCGCAAGGCCCTGTGTGTGCGCATCTACTTTGTGCTGGGCAACTTGACGGCTGAGGACGCGGAGTTGCGCTCGGAGTTGTTTGAGGCAACGCGGCGCGGGCACACACTGCTCGACACGCTCTCTCGCCGCGGCAAAGAACTTGTGGTGCGCGACTGCGATGTGATCGTGGGGTGGTGGCATTTGAATGGCGGCGTGGTGACGGCTGATTGCGCTTGCCTGCTTGCCTTTTTCGTGGCGTGTTGCTGTCGTGCTGTTGGTGTGTCGTGTTGTCGTGGCGTGTTGGTGTCGTGTTGGCGTCGTGTTGCTCGCGTGCGCCGCGGCGAAGGCTGCTGCTGTCCCATCCCTGCAACGCTTTGCTTCTGTGCTCACACTGTGTGCATGTGCGTTTCGATGCAGGCGGTATTGGGGGCGGAATCCAGGAGGAACAATGCAATGGACAACGGAAGCGATGGTGATGATGAGGACGATGATGCAGCACAACAGCAGAACGGCGGTGGTGGTCACGACGATGATGATGACGACGATGATGAAGAGGGCAAACCGCCAGCGCCGCCAAATTCAAACACCGCAAACAGCAAGAAGACGTCGGATCTCGAAGACCTCGTCATCAAGGTGTGTGTGTGTGTGTGTGCGTGTGTGTGTGTGCGCGTGCGTGCGTGTATTGTGTATGTTGTTGTGTGATCGACTGCCTCGTAGTCGGGGGTATCAGCTCATGCAAATACACACTCATCCCAACACCGCACTACCTTATCACCGCCCGCGTTCCCACCCACTACCAGCTGGTGCGGGTGATTGCGAATCTGTGCATCTCGCCCGAGTTTGGTGCGCATCTTGCAGGCGACGGGCGGCTGTCGCTGCTGCTGGACGTGTGCCGTACGGACGCCGTCACGGCAGGGCACCACGACCTCCTCATGAACATTGTACGAGCCGTCCTGCCTGTGATGTGTGTGCTTGTGCGGTGCTTCTGGTAGTGGTGCTGAAGCTTGCCCGTGGTGATTGCAGCCGTGGCCCCCGCACAGATGCGGTCACGCCTTTGTGTGATTTATTTGTTTTCCGTATACATGTACGGCTGTGCGTTTGCATCACTCACTCTCCCCCTCTTTCACTCCACACCACCCCCTCAAGTACTCACTTGCACAACACACACACACACACACACACACGCTCTCTCTCTCTCTCTCACTTGCTCACTCACTTTCACTCGCGCATGCACGCGGGCGTTAGGTTGGTTGTGTGAACAACTTGAGCTTCTACCATTTGGACGACAACTTTGTGCTTGTGCATCGACTTGACTTTGCGCAGACCCTGGCGCCGTGTCTCCTCAGCCAGAACATGGACCTTGTTGTCGAGGTGCGTTGTCGTGTGTGTGTGCGTGTGTGTGTGTGTGTGCGTGCGTGCGTGCGTGTGTGTGTGTGTGCGTTGTCGTGTGTGTGTGTGTGTGTGTGTGTGTGTGTGACGAGTCGTTCTAGCTCGCTCCATGTCTGCTGTATGTGCTTGCAGGCATCTGACGCTCATTGTCACATGGCATGGTTCAGGTTGCGCGCGTGTTTGGCAATTTCTCCCAAGCCAAGGAAATCCGACAACTCCTCGTCGACAACAGAGGTTCGTACTCTTGCCGCCGCTGCTGCTGTGCCTTTGTGGTGCACAAGATCTTCAATTTTAACACGATGTCACTGTCTCACTGTCCCTTTTCCCTCTACCACACACACACACACACACACACACACACACACACACACACACACACACACACACACACACGCACACACACACGTGCACCTGTGCTGCAGTTGACGAGCTGCTGGTTGTGCTGCTGGAGCACACGAACCGGGACGTGGTGTACTCTGTGTGCGGCATCCTCATGAATCTGCTCGGCGACCAGGACTGCCGCCACGTCATGCAGAAGAACGACTACAGCGGCATTGACAGCCTCATTGATGTTGTAGCCGGCACTGCGGGCCAGGACTGGCAGCTTGCTGGGCTGGCGTGCAAGACGCTGTGGAACTATGCGGAGCGGCTTGGGCAGGCGGACGGGCGGGAGCTGATGGCACGCGAGCAGATGGAGGACCTGGTCGACGTCCTCGCAAACCTCATCGGTGAGGATGACGATGATGATGGTGGTGATGGTGGTGATGATGATTGTGTTGTTGTTGCTGCTGCGGTGTACGGTTGTGTTGTGTAGTGTAGTGTAGTGTTGTGTTGTGTTGTGTTGTGTTGTGTTGTGTTGTGTTGTGTTGTGTTGTGTTGTGTTGTGTTGTGTGGTGCACTCGTCTCTGCCTAGCTGCTTTGTCTCCCTCATCCTCAACACAATATCGTGTGTACTCACTCTCGTTCACCCCCCCCCCCCAACAACAACAACAACAACAACAACAACAACAACAACAACAACAACAACAACAACAACAACAACAACAACAACAACAACACACGCGTGTCCATTTGTCCTGCGCAGCTGACGATGCTGTTCCCAAGGACGAAGCGAGTCGAGAGGCATATGAACACGAGTTTGCTGGTGTTGCTCGCCATCTGCACCGCCACGTCTCAGACTGCCTTAACCCCATGGAGCCCCTCTAGCTCATTATGCATGGGCAAACAACGCGTGTGCATTGTGTTGAATCGTCCCTTACCACGATGTTTTCGATGCTGTGTGTCGTGTTTTTTTTTTTGTTTGATCCTGATGGTGGCCGCTGTGCCCATTGCAGGTGGTAGCTCTCTTGTTGATCGTTGTGCTGAACTTGTCCTTCTCCTGTTTGTGCTAGATATGATCCTGCGGCGGTTGAGTTTGATGTGTATGATAGCTTTGAGGTTCCGGCTCCCACAACTCGTTCCTGTCGTGTACTTGTGCTGTGCTGTGCTGAGCCATATGCCCTGGATGCTTGTTGTTGTTGTGCGCTCAGGCATGGCTTGTGCATTTATGTACATGTGTGTGTGTATGTGCATGTGTGCGTGTGTGCGTGTGTGCGCGCGTGTAGCTCCTGTCTGGTTCGTGTGTGCACTATGATATGAGCTCCCATCACACCAACACAGCCCCTATTTCATTCCACTTCCCTTTTGTGCTTTGATCCGCTTCTCGCCATATTATTTCGACATACGCTGACTCTTCCCCCTGCCATTGCTTCTGCTGTTGGTGTTGGTTTTGGTGTTGTGTGGTGTTTTGTTGTTCTCCATCTGCGCGGTTGTGCGACCGCGGTCATAAACACATGTACAGCAGCGACCGGCTGGGGGAAGAGAGGTGCATGTCGTTGTTGGCGTGAGTTGTGTGTGGCAGCCTTACATTGTCGAAAATCAACACAACATTTCCATGAATGTTCGTCAATCGTGTGGAAGGACTTGCTCGGCTCGGTGAGCGCAACAGACAACAGCAACAACAACAACACACACACACACACACACACACACACACACACACACACACACACACACACACACACACACAGACACACACACAGACATACACACACACACATTCTCTCTCTCTTCCCCCCACACACACTCACACATACACACACACTCTCTCTCTCATTCACTCTGAACGTAACCTTGCGCGTTTTGCAACACAGAGCTGGGATGGACAAGGTTGACGCGTGCGACTCGGAGCCGTTGCGGCTGTGCCTGGAGAAGAACAACGGCGACCGTTCAAAGTGCCAGAAGGAGTGGGAGGCCTTCAAGCGGGCGTGCGCCGCCAAAGGAATGGGACCCATCAAGAAACAATGACACGCATGAGATGCAGGCGTGTGCTTAGGACAGTATTGGCGGTTTGTGCACGTAGAGCGTTCGCTGCAATGTACATTTGCGTAGCTTCCCTGCATGTGCCTCTTCTCTCTGTGTGTGTGTGTGTGTGTGTGTGTGTGAGTGTGTGTGCCTCTGCCCGTCTCGGTCTTTCTCTCTCTCTCTCTCTCGTTTTATGTTTGTACATCTCCTTCGCGGACGCGCCCACACCAGCTTAGTGTCTCCCTTTTTCCCTCACCGCTCTCCCTTTTGCCCTTTGCTGCTATCAACTTTTCTCTCAAGTGTACCAAGTTTACCCTAGATCTCTTTGACATGCGTCTTTGACGGCCCAACGCCGACCAAGTATACCTACATCAACACATGCACACACGCACACGCACGCGCGCACGCACGCACGCACACACACACATGCACGCACACACACGCACACACACACACACACAAACACATCAGCGCATGTGCTGGGCAAACTCTGGGTCGTCGTGGAGCCCAAACTCCTTGAGCAAGAACGGCGCGTTGACGTTGAAGTTGTTGTTGAGCAGCAAGCGCATGAGCACGCGGTTGTGCAACGCAAACAGCTGCCGCAGCTCCGCCACCACGTCCTCTGGTATTGGGCCTGCAGACTTCTTCATGCGTGACACGCCCTTGTCAAACCACTTTTCGTTTGTCGGCTGGAAGGGCACCCCCATAAAGTCGGTCACACGCTGTACCGCCGTCCGCGCATCGTGCCGCAGCTCTCCTGGGGGTGGGGGCGTGGTGTTGTGTGTGTGTGTGTGTGTGTGTGTGCGTGCGTGTGTGTGTGTGTGTGTTGTGAGCATGTGTGTATGTGTGTATGTGTGCATGTGTGTGCGTGTGTGCGTGTGTGTGTGTGCGTGTGTTGTCAGCAAAGGGCACGGAAGGGCAAAGTACTTGCAACTGACACACAAGCGCGCACACACACACATATGCACACACACACACACACACACATATGCACACACCTGCGGTCATGATGAGCAGCTGCTCTGGCCAAAAGCCGGCGCAGAGGAAGTTGAAAATCTGGTCAGCGTACAGGCCACGCATGGTGAGCCCCTCATATTGGACACGCAGGTTGAGCGGCACTTCGTCGTTGCTGGCAAATTGTGTGTAATGCAGGAACCACGGGTGGTCGTCGTGGGCGTTGTGCTTCTCCACACACGTCTGCAACTCGCGGTACACGCTGCGCGGGTCCCGGCAGAGGTGGAGGTCGTTCATCGTCGGCGGCTTGCGGCCTGCGCTGATGTCCTCATCTTGCATGGTGAGCCCGATGGTGGAGTTGTAGCACGCGTGCAGCATGGCCAGCTCCTCCCGCGTCTGCGCCACAAACAGCTCGCGGCTGGTGTCGCGCTGCTTCATCGTCTGGAAGAATGCGCTCCACGTGCGTGACGTCGGGTTGCGCAACATCACCACAAACCGCATCTGCCGCGGCGAGGGCAGCGATTCCCACATGTTGAAGGGCACGCGGTAGTCTGTCAGGTACCGGGGCGTGATCTCAAACGGAACCATGTCCCGCTCAGCGTTTCCCTGGCAGTGGAACTTCTTCAGGTCACACTCAATTGACAGGCCTCGCTTGTTCCACTGCACGCATGCACGTGTAAATGTGTGTGTGTGTGCGTGTGTGTGTGCGTGCGTGCGTGTGTGCATGTGCATGTGTGCGTTGTTGGTGATGTACATGATCGTGAGGCGTTGTCGATGAGCTGACATGCACACGATGACACCCAATCATACACACACACGCACATGCACACACACGCACATGCACACGCACACACGCACACACAGGGCGCACCTTGCTCTGGTACCAGTTCATGCTCTTGAGCATCCAGCGGCGGCCGGCCCCAAATGGATCGCGGGCAAATTGCTCGTGCGTGTGATCGCCGCGGAACGCGTGCACCTCCTTCACCCCCGACATGAGGAACCCTTCCACGTACCCCAAGTACACGGCCAGGCTCGACGTGCCGCACTTCTGGCACCCTGTAATCGCAAACCAATAGAAAATGTCGGGCAGCTGCATCAGCAATAGGGAGCGAAGAGGCGCCGCGACAGAAGGACGAAGGGGGAAGCGCACAGGTGCACGGACACACACACACACACACATACATACATACAAACATACATACATACATACATACATACATACATACATACATACATACATACATACATACATACATACATACATACATACATACATACATACATACATACATACATACATACATACATACATACACACAGACACACAGACACACAGACACACACATACATACATACACACACGCACACAGACACAGACACAGACACACACATACACAGACACACACATACGCGCCTCTCGCAAGCTTTCAATCATGCATACCTTCCCCAACCAACCAAGCACACGTGCACGGACAGACGCACAAGTTCACACACAAAGTTCACACTCACACAAACGCACCAATGCCAATGAGCCGCGGGTACAGCCCGTCCTTCTTGAGGTCGTGGTGTGGCCAATACCGCTTGGGGCGTACGGGGGAGACCGGGTACTTGTCCTCGTTGTCGTTGAGAATGTCGTCGTTGTTCAGCGTCCAATCCTCCACATCTGTGGCATCTCTGCGGTCCCTATGTTCAGCGTCCTGTGCAGGATCGCTGCGCTGTGCACTTGGTCCACCCCTTCCCCTTGTACGTCGCTCTTCCGCTGCACCCCAAAGCTCTTCCTGATCCACCTTTCCTCTTTGTTCCCAGCCTTGCCGATCTAATCTCTTGCTCACCCTCTCACCACCACCACCACCACCACCATCATCATCATTAAATGTGTGTGCTTGCTGTTGCTGGTCCTCCTCTGCGGCAAGCAGTGTCCTTTGCACGCCTGCAGCAGCAGCGCTTCCAGCTTTGTGTACCATGTCTCCGTCCACGATCCCCACCTCTCCTCCTCCTCCTCCGCCTCCTCTCCACACCACGCCAAGCGCCACCAAGCAGCAGCAGCAGCACACAACCGCCGCCGCTGAACGCACAGCAGCCGCACCTCTCCTCATCTTGTCGCTACCGTTTATGCTGTCGCCGTTTGACATCTTGCTTGGGCCATCTTGCTTTGCTTCTTGTTTCCATTGACACACACACACACCTTCAACAACACAGACAGGCAGACGCAGGCAGACAATCGACGCACAGACGCGACAATGGCTGAGAAGAAAGGGGAGCAGTTGATGCAGGAGGCGGAGAAGAAGGCCAACGGCGGGTCTGGCTTCTTCTCATCCCTCTTCTCGGACCCGATGCGGCGGGCGGAGGAGGCTGCTGAGCTGTACAAGGAGGCGGCCATCCAGTTCAAGATTGGCAAGGCATACGCCCGCAGCGGCGAGGCGTACATGAAGGCCGCAGACCAATTCACAAAATGCCAGGTGCTGTGCCTCTGCAGTTGCGTGAGAGCATGTGCGTGTTGGGGCAGGGGGCAGGGGGCTCCGGACGCTTGGCTGTTGTTCCTACTTTGTTGCTGCTTCCGTGTAGGGTTGTGGCTGTTGATTTTGCCTGCTTTTTGACGACTCTCATCCTTGATGGTGATTACGATGCATCTGTATCGGTGTTTGCGCTGCGTTTCGTGGACCAGCTGCCACACGAGGCTGCCAGCGTGTACATTGATGCAGCAACGAGCCTGAAGAAGGAGTCACTTGAAGGTATGACAAGGCATGGACAAAGCCGCGTGCATGCGTCAGAACATTAGACGGATATGTCTGTGTGTGTGTGTGTGTGTGTGTGTGATCGCAGGCCTCATGACTCACCCTCGCCTGGTTTTGCATGGAGCAGAGTCCCTCAAGTGCTCCATCCTTGCTGCAGAGACCTACCTCAACATGGGCAGGTGTGTGTATGTATGTTTGCGCGAGTGCTTGCATGAGGTTGTACTACCGCTTCGATTGCATGGGATACGCGGCGGAACCTCATCATGCTGTGTGTGGGGTCGTGGCGCAGGTTTTCCATGGCTGCGAAGCAGTACAAGAACGTGGCGGAGGCGTATGAGTCGCAGACCAGCGATCTGGACAGCGCCATGGAGTACTTCCAGCACGCCGTTGAAGCGTACGAAAACGACGACGCGCAGACCTCTGCCGACAAGCTCAAGCTCAAGGTGCGCGCATGTGTGTGTATGTGTGTGTGTGTGTGGAGTGTGTGTGTGTGTGTGCAGTGTGCGTGCGTGTATGTGTGTGTGTGGAGTGTGTGTGTAGTGTGTAGTGTGTCTGTGTGCTGTTCGGTTCAATTGTTGAGTGCATGTTCTCACTCGTGTTCGCCCTTCCATCCTCTCCCCAGCTGGCTGAGATTTATGCACGCAAGGACCGCTTCGCGGACGCGTACACCGCATTTGAGGAGGTGGCATCACGCATGATCGACAAGTGAGGCGCAGTCCACCCCACTCTCATGGCGCTCATGCATGCTCGCGTTTGCCTTGTTTCACACACCATGCAAACCAACGCCCTTGTTGGGTATGTGTTTGTTGATGCTCGTGCATTCATGCCGCCACCAACACCCATCCACACTGCCACCCTAACCAATCCTCACCACTGCCTTCATGACCTGCACCACCACCCATCACCATCATCATCACGACTACTACGGCCACCAGCAAACTGCTGCGTTTTGGCTCGAAGGAGTTTTATCTCAAGGCCGGAATCTGTCGCCTCTGCGCCGGTGACGCAATCGCTGCACGCGTGAGTCACCGTGTGTGTGTTGTGGTGTGTGTGTGTGTGGGGGGGGTTGTGTGTGTGTGTATGTGGGTTGTGTTTGTGTGTGTGCGTATGTGTGTATGTGTGTGGGTGTGTATTTGTGTTTGCGTGTGTGCGTATGTGTGCTTGTGTGGGTGTGTGGGTGTTTGTGTGGGTGGGTGTGTGGGTGTTTGTGTATGTGTGCTTGTGTGGGTGTGTGTGTGTTTGTGTGTGTGTTTGTGTGGGTGGGTGGGTGGGTGTTTGTGTATGTGTGGTTGTGTTTGTGTGTGTGTATGTGTGTTTGTGTGGGTGTGTGAGCTTGTGTCTGTCAGCGTTAGTGTGCCTGTGTGCATTTGTGCCGTCAACAAGATGCGCACGTGTTGCCCTGTTGCTCACCCGACGACAACATCAACCGCCCCCCGTTCTCCCGCGGTGCACTGCAGCGCGCTGCTGAAGGATACATCACCGCATTCCCGCAATTCCAGGACACGCGCGAAGAAAAACTCCTCTTTGTACGTGCCATGCACACGTGTGCACATGCATGATCTGTGTGTGGCGTGGTGTCGTGCTGCTGCAAGCGAGTGGCTACCGTGGACGAGGTGTGCACGTAATGCCCACATGTTCGCACACACACGCAACAGGGACTGCTGGATGCCGTGGATGAGAATGACGTCGAGAAGTTCACAGAGGTATGGCGCCGGTGGTAGTGGTGGTGCTGCTGCTGCTGCTGAATGTGGATGATCGAGACTGCACACACGCATACGCGCGCGCGCGCACACACACACACACACACACACACAATAACAACACACACACACACACACACACACACACACACACACACACACACACACACACACACACACTCTTGGGGCCAGTTTAACTTTCTGTTCTTTGTTCTTTTGAGACAATGTTGTTTCTTCAGAGTAACCGCTACTGAAACGAGAAGGGTAGGATGTATACGGACTAATGAAGACCAAAGTCTATAAGATATAGTGAGACCACTCCGTATCTGCTGTGTTGCATCTGAAGACAAATGAGGAGTCCGATGAGTGGATCTGGGATCGCTTAGATATAGCACATGAGATGATCTGAGGTATGCTTCATCCGATTCTATGGTTAGCGTATTGTGTTTGATGTCGTGAGTGAAG